GCATCTGTGTTTCACGTCTGGGGTTGCCTTGCTCACGTTCGTGCCTTTGGCACGGACAAGCTCACTGCCCGCACCCTTCCCTGTGTCTTCCTCGGCTTCCCCTTTGACGCATCTGACTGGCACTTCTACCACCCGCCGTCTCACCGGTTCTTTCACTCCCGCGACGTCACCTTTGGCGAGTCTGTCTCCTTCTTCCGCCGCTTCCCCCGCCGTGGTCCCCCTGTTACACCCCCCCCTGTTCCTGGTCACCCCTTCCCCGGTCGTCGCCGCCCCTCCTCCCCCCCCTCCCCATCCTGCGCCCTCTGGTGTGGCCCACGTCACCCCACTTCCGTCGGTTGTCCCGGTATAGGAGTCTACTGACTTCAGTGGTCTTGCGGCGCAGCCCTCGCCGCCTGCCCCTTTTCAGGTGTCTCCTCTTCCGCCACCTCCGCAGCCACCGTTGCCACTGCTGTCGCAGCCACCGTCGCCACAGCAGTCGCAGCCGTCGGCACCGCAGCCGCAGCCGCCGCAGCCGTCGGCACCGCAGCCGCCGCCGCTGCAGCCGTCGCCGCATCAGTTCGTTGCCTCTGGGGGTGCTGGCGTGGAGTGTTCTGGAGGTAGCCGCCAGGCAGCTTGCGGTCACGGTGTCGGTGTCACACCGCCGCCGCAGCAGTCCCCGCCAGTGTCCGCTCTTCGCCTGCTCGGCCTTCCGTCCCCTGACCCCGTGCTTGTGCCTCCTCCTCCTCCTGTCTACGGCCCTATTATCCCTCCTCTGGACTCGTCTCTGGCCTGTTTCTCCCCTCGTTCCCCTCCTGTGTCCCCTCTTCTGTCTCCTGACCCGACTTCTCCGTCTCACGTCTGGTCTCCCCTGTCTCACGCTATCACCCTATGTTGCTTCGTTCCCACGCGTCTCGTCCTCCCCTTCTCCCGTCGCCCCCTCCGTCCTCCCTTGTCATTGCTCCCCCTCCTGTGTTTGACTACCTGCGTGCCGCTCGTCCTCTTGTTCCTCGGGTCCTTGCCTCTCTTGTTACCGACCCATCTGTTCCGATTTCGAGTCTTGACGCCATTGTCGCTGCGGTCGCTGACTTCGCCTCTACCTGCCGCCTTGACTACGTCACCGCTCTGGTCTCTGACCCTGCCTGTCCTCCGTCTGTCGGGGGTGCTCCTGCCCTCGGCAGTGACGTCCTGGAGGACCGCCAGTACGAGCTTGCTTTCCTGTCCGAGGCTGCTCCCCACCTCTGCTCAATGTTTCTAGTCCATGAGGGTGACCACGACGCTTTCGACATCCCGACCCCTCGCACTTACGCTGAGGTGGTTTCGGGACCCTGGGCCTCTCAGTGGATAGGTGCCATGGAGCAGGAGATGGCATCTTGGAGATCCACCGGCACCTACGTCGACGCAGTTCCCCCACCTGGGGTGGACTTATTCGATGGCCGCTGGCTCTTCAAGGTGAAGCGCCCTCCTGGAGAGCCGCCTGTGTTCAACACGCGCTACGTGGCTAGAGGTTTCAGTCACCGTGAGGGGGTGGAATTCTTCCAGACCTTCGCTCCGACCCCGAAGATGACTACTCTTCGGGTACTGCTATACGTAGCAGCTCAGCGTGACTACGAGTTATACTCCCTCGACTTCTCCACTGCATTTCTTCAGGGCAGTCTACACGAGCAGGTCTACTTGTGCCACCCTCAGGGCTTCACTGGTACCTTCCCTCCTGGGACCCAGTGGCTCCTGCGGCGCCCCGTCTACAGCCTGCGGCAGGCTCCCCGTGAGTGGCACGACACGCTGCGTGCTACGCTTGCTGACCTACAGTTCTTTCCGTCCTCTGCAGACCCCTCGCTCTTCGTTCGTGCTGGCCAGACCCCGTTCTACATTCTTGTTTACGTAGACAACCTGGTCTTCGCCACCGCAGACAGGGACGCATTGGCCTCCGTGAAGGTAGAGCTGCTGAAGAGACACACCTGCACTGACCTTGGAGAACTGCACCACTATTTTGGCTTGCAGATCTCCAGAGACAGAGCAGCGCGCACCATCACTTTGACTTAGTCACACTTGGTGCGCCAGGTCCTTTAGAGGTTCGGCCTTCACTTCTCCTCCGCATAGCCCACTCCTCTGTCTCTAGACCACAGGCTCTCCGCTCCAGTTCATGAGGAGTCGGAAGAGCTCAGTGGTCCTTACGCAGAGCTGGTGGGTTGCCTCATGTACCTGATGACTTGCACTCGTCCAGATCTCGCATACCCTCTTAGCATCGTGGCTCGCTTTGTGGCTACAGGCAGACACCGACCTCAGCACTGGTCTGCCGCTAAGAGGGTTTTGCGTTATCTTGCAAGTACATCGGGCATGGGGTTAGTGCTAGGAGGACGCAGGCCAGAGGTCCTTACTGGACACACTGACGCTTCTTGGGCAGACGACGCCGAGACCCTCAGGTCCTCGCAGGGCTACTGCTTCAGCCTTGGTTCAGGTGACATCTCGTGTTGAGCTACCCGCTCCTCGTCTGTTGCCCAGTCCAGCTGTGAGGCCGAGATCTACGTCGGTGCCATGGCGGCACAGAAGCCTCGACTCGAGGGCAGAGCGAAGCATATCCAGCTGCGGTACTTCCTCCTGCGTGAGCTCCAGCAGCGCCGCCAGGCGCGCGTAGTACACTTGGCCTCCGGTGCCAACACAGCTGATATCTTTACGAAGGCGCTTGCACCTAAAGATCATCAGCGGCACTGTGTACAGCTAGGTCTTGTTCCTGTAGCCTCTAACTTGCTAGGGCCTTGACTTTGTACTGTCCTTTATATATATATATTTTACCCTGACTGGCCTTGTGGCCTCTCCCAGTGGCTGGACTAGTAGTGCCGCCCTGGTCTTCCTCTTGCCTTGTCTGTACTCGTGACTGGTCTTTAGACCCTTGTCTCAGAGGTTGGACTAGTAGTGCCGCCCTGAGCTGCTTCTTCTCTTATTAGGCAGTGTAGGGGGTGTGTCAAACATAACGTATGCAGTTACTATAGACTATATATGTTTGTGCCTTAATGGGTACAGCTCACTAGTCTATATTGCCTTGTATCTCCCCATTCTAGTCATTATTCATTCTGATACCCTCATACCATGAAAAAAATTGAAAGGTGGTGCAGGAGACTAAGTATAGAAACTGCAAACACAAGTACTTTAAGGAGAAAGGGATACTGGAAGTACCTCCAATAACAACGAGTATTAACAAGTTGTAACACCAGAATCAATGTTACTGCCTTGTGATACGTCCAAGACTTAATCAAGGATATTTGATCGAATGGTAGACTAGTAAGAGAGCGGTAGTCATATAACTTGTAAGTGCTGACCAGAATTTAATGAAGAACAAAGTTGATCATTGAAGTCATACAAGCTCCTTTTATATCTGCTAGAAGTACCTATTCGGTAATGTACTTGTTCAAAACTATTTGCGCTATGCGCTCTAACCGACACTAAAAAGAGCGCGAGTGTTTGCGTGACTGAAACGGCCTGCTGACGTAATCATCCTGACGAGCGCAATTTCCTGACGTCATTCTAAGGATGCCAGCTACAGTGTAACTCGACAATATCTCTCGAAACTACTTACAGAAATGCGTAAGTTCGATTTTATCACAACAATTTGGACATACATACATTGTACAGCTCCAAACACACTTTGCATCAATCTTTTGAGATCACAAGGGCAAGAAAAATTTCAAAATATGTACTTACTGAATGAAAAACCTGCCCGTTCAGCCTTATATCAGTTCAAGGCGGATCCGTTACCTTTCACTTTTTGTCACTCTTATGATGATATTAGAAATTTAGGTTTTGTTTCACCAAAGCATTCATGTTACGATGCCTCGTACGCGCTTGTGCACGAATCCCCAAGTATACTCCTCCAACCCAAGGATTTCGCAAATCCTTTCGCCACGGGCAAATGAAATCAGGTTTGACGGCTGACATGGCATTCTTCACAAGCGAATTGGCCAGAGTTGTTCATCACAAGATCCCCACAATACTCGTCGCAGGCACGAGTCACGTCACAAGAGTGACATAAGTCTAATTTACACCTTGAAGAATGGCTTGTTAGATTTCAGCAACGAAAACAATGTTTTTCCATTCGGGGATTTTTGTAACAACCAGTAAATTCGCATACCTTCAGTTCAGTTGCGCAATTTTCGTGTGCTTCGTCTGCTCACTGTTTCTAGCCACAAGAAGACAACACTTGGCTAAGTCAGTCTTCACGAATTTAATCTACTGCGAAATTTGAATGTATAAGAAATCGAATGTTTTCTTCATATCAGATAGAGTTTCTATTTGTTTGTCACTACAAGTAGTCTCCCTATTCTCTGGGATTTCGCCATTTTCGGACACGTGTTGAAAGAGTTTTCTATGAAGCATCAAACTGAACAAAATGTTTGACGCTGCCTATTTCGATTGATAAAACATTGACTGGGATGAGAAAAGAGTGATTAAATCGGGGAAACGAAAAGTAAGAGTTACCCAGCGTATAATTTCCCTTCCTGTTACGATGCCTCGTACCCGCTTGTGCACGAATCCCCAAGTATTCTCCTGCAACCCAAGGATTTCGCAAATCCTTTCGCCACGGGCAAATGACATCAGGTTTGACGGCTGACATGGCATTCTTCACAGGCGAATTGGCCAGAGTTGTTCATCACAAGATCCCCACAATACTCGTCGCAGGCACGAGTCTCGTCGCCTGTCCTCTCATGACTCGGCCACGATTTCGCTTCGTGAGTTGGTTGCGGCACCTCCTCTCGCCAAGGTCGCAGAGCAGCACCACCCACAGCGCCCTCACCCCACCCAACGCAACACCGTCACCCAGTACGACCTGCTTCGTCGCCGGCGACGTGCTCGAGAGAGTGTCGCCAACGAGGGTTACCAGCGCCGAGCCGCCCAGTCACTCGCCCGAGCCGCATTTCGAGTCTCAATGAATCGAGAGATGCCTTCCCCAAACCAATCCGCATGCATCACACCTTCCCCCAGCACCGTATAAAATGCTCTTCTCCCCTTCTTTCTGAACATCCCAATTTCTCACCGTGAATAACTCTCTACGCGACTGTCATTGCTCAAGCAATTCTTCACTGCCTTTCACCACTCCCCATGGCGTACTCAAGGGCTTTCGCCGTAGCCTGCGCGCTGCCTCTCCTCGCGCTCGTGTTCTCTTCGTTCTGCCTCAACGCCTCCGCCGACCTCGTCGTTCCCGAGGCCGCCTCGTCCGCACTTGCCGCCGCTGCGTCCGGCGAGCTCGCTCAGCTCGATGCGTCGCACGCTCTCAGCGACGACGCTGCGACCAGGCGAATTCTCGACGACGATGACGACGATGATGACGAGGACAAGAAGGACAAGAAGAAGAAGGATAAGAAGGCTAAGAAGGATAAGAAGTCTAAGAAGTCTCCTACCCCCTCTCCCTCCACCCCCGCCCCGACTACTCCTACCGCGCCGACCAAGACCGGCGGAAAGAAGGGCAAGACTCCCCCTACCCCTGCAACCCCTGGGACCCCTAAGACCCCCGCCGCTCCCGGCAAGCCCACCATCAAGCTCACCAGCGGCGACCAGAAGGTGATATCCTCGCTAGAGGCCGCCGCGATTGATGTGGACAGCGCCAAGGCGAAGCTGAGCGTGAAGACGTACGTGAAGAGTCTGACGGACACGGCGGCGGCGCTGCGCAACTCGGCGATTCTGATCCGCACGGGGCAGCGCACGCTGGTGGCGGGGCAGATCGACAACGCCATCGCCACCATCAACGGCGTGTCCGTCATGCTCCCCGCCGCCGGCGCCGACAAGAAGTTGCTCGCGTCGGCGCTGACCAAGGCGCAGGCCGCCAAGGCTGCGTGGAAGGCGTAGCGGGCTTTCCAAGGGTAGCTGCCTTGGGATCTCCGCGTTGGAAGGCGTTGATGGCTTTCCAATGCGTGGGAATCTCCGCGTTGAAGGCTACCGGCTGGATGTGTAGCTGCAGTTCTCTAGAGGCGCGAAACTAGCTGTTAATAGGTCCTTGGCTGACTGGTGCAGTTCTCAGGTGGTGCCATCAGCGACGAATAACGTGTGCCTCTTGTGGCCATTTGTTCCTAAATCGTTTCTCAAATTACAACGGCCAGTTTTGACGTATCACACAGCTATGGGAGCAGGCCCCCAGAAGTCAGGAAAATTTTCCTGATTCAGGAAAAAAGCAGGGTGTTGAGGGGTACCAGGTCTGATTTGCTAGGGTTTTGTTTTTGGTATTTCCTGAAATTTCAGGGTTTTTTTGTAAGGGATATCTGTCAGCTCAGTTTTTTTTTGTAATAGATCCTGAAATTTCAAACTTGTATCGAGCATGGGTTCTGAGCGGGTCTTAGTCCTTTCCAAAAGCGTGTCTTGGGGGGGCAGTCAAGAATTTCAAGGTTCTCCCCTCCCCCCCCTTCCCCACCCCCCGAGGCTGTGTGAGGGCGCTGATTGGCCCTTGGTAAAAAAGATCTCCGCGCTGTATATTGAAGGTCGTGTCGTGTGACTCGTGTCGTGTGAGGGAGGTCATCGCATCGGCCCTTAGCCATGTATTCGCCTCGATGTGTGCTGAGGGCTGTGAGGGCAATTGCTGTCCCTTGGCCAAATTTGTTTGATGTGTGCCTGCCCTGGGGCTCTGCGAGGGAAGAGATTCCCTCCGCCCCTGCAATCTCGTCGCCTCCCTCTCCCCCCCACCAATTGTCGTTTCCTGCCCATCCCCCAATCTCACCCCACACGCGCGAATTCGCTACGAATTCCCAGCACCCCCTACAGCCAAGACTTGAACACATAATTCATGAACTAAAACATGTATAGAAAGATAGAGAAATCAGGATTTTTTTAAAGTAATTCTGATAACTCAGGATTTTTTTTTAGGGGACCCTGAAAATTCAGACTTTTCTGCAGGGAGAATCCTGATGGATCAGGAAGCCTCAAAACCAATCTAGGGCCCTGTATGGGAGACAATTGCTCAGCTCGCATTTTCATATCTAGGAACATGCGATCATGTCTCGGCCTTTCCTCAAATAATTGGACATGCGATGAATGGTCGCACGGGGTTCAGCCTCCACGCGTTCGTCATGGCCTATCGTTCCGCCGCCCTTGAGGCACAGAGTGAGTTGTGTAAATTGCATCGAATGGTTGTAGCTGTAGCTTCAATTATATAGCAGCGCAAGCTTAGCCCTCTTAGTAGCAACCTGCCCACGTGTCTTGCTGCAATTGAGCGCAAAGAGTGTGTGTCGAAGGATTGATTAAAGCGCGTGACCCAAGAACGATCAAGATTCAAGACTCAAAGTCTTTGATTCTTGGTCGCTCGCGAAACCCAACCTGAGTACACACGGTTACCCTGAAATTCAGCGACGAGAGGTAAACCTTGAACGACGAGAAGTGATTGGTAGAGCCCCCAACTACCGCTGGGGTGAGACTGCGAAAGTCGCACCTGCAACCAGTCGCCCTCCTCCCCCTTCTTTACCTCAGATCATCCTCTCTTCGGCCTCTGCTCATCCTCCTCGCACCTCCCGCTCTACCCGTCTTCGATTCCCCCTCTCCTCCTGTCCAGTGCTTCCCCTCCGTTCCCCCTCTCCTTCCCCCCAGTTTCTCATCTCCTCCCCCCCAGTTTCCCATCTCATTCCCTTCATCTCCCCCTCTCTTTCCCTGCCGCTCCCCCTCTCATTCCCCTTTGCTCCCCCTCTCTTTCCCTTCTGCTCCCCCTCTCTTTCCCCTCTGCTCCCCCTCTCTTTCCCTTCTGCTCGCCCTCTCTTTTCCCTCTGCTCCCCCTTCCTTTTCCCCAGCCTCCTCAGAGTTCCCCCCTGTTCTCCGCCACTCCCTTTCCGCCAATCCTCCTCTACCTCTCCTCATGTCCTCCCCACCCTATCCCCCTGTTCACCTATCCGTATAACCCTCCTCCTGTCCCTTTTCCCCTATCCTCCTCTCCCTTTTCCCCTATCCTCCTCTCCCTTTTCCCCTATCCTCCTCCCCCCTTTCCCCTATCCTCCTCTCCCTTTCCCCATATCATCCTCTCCCTATCCCCCTGTCCTCTTCTCCCTTTCCCCCTATCCTCCTCTCCATTTCCCCCTGTCCTCCTCTCCGTTTCCTCCTATCATCCTCTCCCTTTCCCCCTGTCCTTCTCTCCCTTTCCCCCTATCCTCCTCTCCCTTTCCCCCTAATCCGCCTCTCCCTTCCCCCCTATCCGCCTCTCCCTTTCTCCCTGTCCTCCTCTCCCTTTCCCCCTATCATCCTCTACCTTTCCCCCTATCCTCCTCTCCCTTTCCCCCATCCTCCTCTCCTTCTCCCCCTATCCTCCTCTCCCTTTCCTCCCCCATCCTCCTCTCCCTTTCCCCCTCTCCTCTTCTCTCTTTTCCCCTGTCCTCCTCTCCCTTTCCCTTTATCCGCCTCTCCCTCTCCCCCTATCCTCCTCTCTCTTTCTCCATGTCCTCCTCTCTCATCTGCGATCCCCCCACCCCCCACCTCCCCCCCCACTTCCCTCCCATTCCTTTCCGCTGCTCCCATTGTCTCCCCCTGTTTTCATTCCACCCCCTTGATCCGTTTCCCCCCCTGCTCCCCTGCTCCCCTGCTCCCCTGCTCCCTGCCTCCCTGATTTTGTCGCCGACAAAGCAGGAGTGAGGTTGTGATGGTGGGGCCTGACTCTTGCCTCTCAGCTCCCGCTCTCTTGCCTCTCAGCTCCCGCTTTCTTGCCTCTCAGCTCCCGCTCTCTTGCCTCTCAGCTCCCGCCTTCTTGCCTCTCAGCTCCCGCTCTCTTACCTTTCAGCTCCCGCTCTCTTGCCTCTCAGCTCCCACTCTCTTGCCTCTCAGCTCCCCCTCTCCTTGGCCTCAGCTCACCCACTCCTTGGCCTCAGCTCACCCACTCCTTGGCCTCAGCTCACCCACTCCTTGGCCTCAGCTCATCCTCCTGGTCCCCTCTGCTCATCCCTCATTCACTCACTACCCCCTTTCTTTGCTGTCTGCCTCCCCCTCTTCTTTCTCTCGCAACAGTGGGTCATGATACGCGCAGGGCACTGCACGCATCAACTAGCACTCTGCCCGCCTCTTCCATGCTCTCCCTCACACCACCACACCCTGCAGGCTCGTGTTAATGAAAAAAACTTTGTTATGAGATACTCTGTTTGAAAAGAAACAGCCAGAATGCATCTATCCTATGTACTCTATTCTTGTTGTTACGCATGGCCTTCGATTGAACTCATTGTTTGTTTTTGCAGACGTTAGTTACACAATTACATAGGGTTTTTGTGTGTGTGTGTGTGTGTGTGTGTGTGTGTGTGTGTGTGTGTGTGTGTGTGTGTGTGTGGTGAAATTGCATTATACACCGCTAAAAATACCACCTACGGTCATAACCGGTTATAGAGGGCCTGTGTATATTGTACCATACCCTCTCGGAATTCCTACGGGGGGTTTGAAGACCAAGTGCTTGAAACTTTCATCCTGCCCGATTGGAGTTCTCATTTCAGTGTTGGATTCCCTCAACTGCGGGTGAACCATTTGGGACCTTTCTTGCCGAGAGCAGTGAGAAGTGGTTGCAGCAGCTACTCCGTTTCGAGAACGGTGAAGAGCGGTTCTAACAGCAGTTGCGTTCATGTGCACTTTCAGCGGTAGGTGGAACGATGTGGTTGGAATTGCCCCGAGTGCTCCCTGTTGACAGCACTGATGAGATCTTGCACCAGTCGCCACTGCTTCTCTTGCAGCTCTCTCTCCCCTGATGAAATCTCCTAGCAGGCTACGTCGTCGTTCATGTTCGCTGTCGGTCAGTCTTCCTGACGATCGCTTCTAGGTAGCATGTCACCAAACAAAGTCAGCGTCTTCTACGTTTAGGTAGATCTCTTGAAGCTTGTTACCGGCATCAGCTTCCTTTGTCCTGAAGTAATAGTCTTCCGGATTCGCGTTGAAATGAAGATATTTGTCTTCGTTTCCTTCAATAGGCATGTTGAAAACAGGTATTTCTTTGCACTCCACCGATGCAGATGAACCTGATAAAACACATTCTTGCTCATTTCCTGTCGAGAATCCAGTCGTATTCTGTTTTGCCTTGACCTTCGCTTCGGTAGATAGTTTTTCCAGAGGTGTAAGATGATGCTCTGACTTGGAATGTTGTTGGATGGCAGAGAACGATGATAGTCTGAAGGTGTTTCGTTGGAAAACTGCCTCGTACTTGTATTTCCAGCCACGACCCGCAGTTGTATTTATATTATGATGCCATATTGGATGACGCTTTGAAAGGTTTTCGACCATCATCTCTTCATTCCTGGAACATTCAAAACAATGTCTAGAAGCCTGTTTGCACTTCGGTGAGTGAGTATTAGGATTTTGTAGGAGCAATGAGGACGGTCGAATGTTCGTTGTGTGAACACAATGTTGGTGTCGAAAGATAGCTCCTGTTGCGTAGATCCTGAATGTATACTCAGATCTTGGAAATGAGGGTGGTAAGCTTTGCATTGCTGAGATAGAAGTTCCTGATAGGAGAGATGGCGGAGAGCTACGGTATCTTGCTTCGTAACTGTGAACCATCAGTGTGTGTGTCCAAGGCTGCTTGACATAGGGTTGATGTTGTAGATTTGGCGTTGTAATATAGTTTCCAAAGGGTTCGGCTCGGACAAGGCCGGGTGTGTTTCCGCAATATTTTGTTTCGTGTTTCGGGTAACTCGCGTGTGCTTTTGCCCGATCGTCTTTGGCCCGACATTCCTAGTTTACACATCGGGGTTGGTTTATTATCGATATTGTACTCACCCAACCCTGGTTCTTAGGGTGTGTGGCAAGTAGAAGTCGACACGATGGGGACCGGAATGGAGGTATGGTACAACGTGGTACAGTGTGCTTTGTTTTGTTTCAAAACAGTTGTTGAGAGGTACAGAGGTAAACGACCGGACGATGGGAGCGGAGGGTCACTCCGATCGTACTTGCCACGCGCCCTTACCCTCTCTGTTTCCACTCGTCGCCAAAACGTCGCCCATCTTCCGCAGCCGAGGTCCGTGACTTTCGCGCTTCCCCAGTCCCATTTTTCTCTTCGCAACCCCTCTGCGAATTTCGCCTCTCTGACCAAGATTCAAAGACTTTGAGTCTTGGTCGTTCTTGGGTCTCGCGCTTTAACGAGTAAACAATTCCGTAATCTCCCAGCATGAATACCCCCCGAAAAAGGGACCACATGGCTTCATTCCAGACATAGGGTCCTTTTATCGCGAATACCTCGCCAGGACCCGCTTTTTCAGATAAATCATTTGACGACCCCCCCCCTTTTATGG